TAAACCAGCCAGTGAGAGAACGCCGAAACAGAGGACAACTAGTCCAATCAGAATCACACCAACCATAAAGCTGGAGGTCACAATCTACACGAAGCAAAATACCCTGACCTGGATGCTGTTTCAAATAACGAACAACCCGGAGAGCAGCCTCCCACTGAGCCTGCTGTGGAGCTTGCAGGAATTGAGCCAACATATGAACCGAGTAAGAGATATTAGGATGGGTGACAGCAAGATAGATCAACCGACCAACCAGACGACGATACTGCTCAGGATCAGAGAGTGGAGAACCCTCAGCCAGAAGAAGACGATGATTCTGGTCCATGGGAAAAGTAACAGGTTTCACACCCAAAAGACCAACTTCTGAGAGAATATCCAAGGCATATTTCCGTTGACATAAAAATATGCCAGACGAATTATGGGAAACCTCAATACCCAAGAAGTACTTAAGAGGGTCAAGATCCTCCATGTGAAAACAAGTACTCAAATACTGTTTGAAAGCAGTAATAGCAACATGATCATTACCAGCCAAAACAAGATCATCAACATATACCAACAGACTAAGAGAAATACAACCACGATGAAGGGTAAACAAAGAGTAGTCAGTAAAAGATTGCATAAAACCATACTGCTTTAAAGCCTGGGTAAGCTTAGCAAACCAGCAACGAGGAGCCTATTTAAGACCATACAGAGACTGACGAAGCCGACACACCTGACCAGAAGTGTCGGTGCGGAAACCAGGAGGAAATTTCATATAAACCTCATCATGGAGATCATCATGAAGAAAAGCGTTATGGACATCCATCTGGTGAAGCTCCCATTTTTTGGCGGCAGCAACAGCAAGAAAGGTACGAACCGTGACCATTTTGGCAACAGGCGCAAAAGTCTCCTGGTAGTCAATGCCTTCAACCTGATTATTACCAAGGATAACCAGACGAGCCTTATAGCGCTCAACAGAACCGTCAGCATTATATTTTATTTTAAACACCCACTTACAACCAATGGTGCGCTTGCCAGGAGGAAGGGAAGTAACTTCCCAGGTGCGATTTTTCTCCAAAGCACGTATCTCGTCATGCATGGCAGAACACCATTTGGCATCCTGCATGGCCTCACGAAAGGAACGAGGCTCAACGCCTGTAGTAATGGCAGCCAAGAAAGCTCGATGCTGGGGTGAAAAAGAATCACAGTTTACAAAATGTGTTACAGGATAAGGAGTACCTGAGGACTGAGTAGGTGAGTGAGCAGCAAGGGGAGAGTTAAGATGGCGAGCGAAACCATGAAGACGAGTAGAAGGAAATTTAGTACGATGACCACAACCCAATAGTTCAGGAGACACAGAAGAAGACTCGGTTGTGGAAGACAAGGTGGGTGACCCCTCAGAGGAAGGGGACGAGGTAGGAGAAGCAGGGGGTGATGCAGGAAAAGAGGGAGAAACTGGGGGGGCAACAGAAACTGGTTCGGAAGGAGGTAAATCATCATCATCAAAAAAAGGAGAGAAAGTAAGAACCGGAGGAGAAGAAGAGTCTGATAAAATAGAAAAAGAATTGACAAAATGAAATTCAGTCTCACAAAAAAATCCCGAGAAACAGAAAACTTACGTAATTCAAGATCATAAACCAACCAGGCCTTTTTACCAAATGGATAACCCACAAAAACACACTTGCGACTACGGGGAGCGAATTTATCACCCCCGCGAGAAAGATGATGCATATAACAAAGGCACCCAAAAACACGCAAGTGGTGAAGAGAAGGAGGTTTACCATACAGAATTTCAAAAGGAGTCTTCCCATTTAAAGCAGAAGAGGGAGTGCGATTGATTAAGTACGCAGCAGTCAAGACACAATCACCCCAAAAAGGAATAGGAAGATTAGCTTGAAAAAGTAAGGCACGAGCGACATTAAGAATGCGTTGGTGTTTACGTTCGACACGACCGTTTTGTTGAGGGGTACCAACACAGGAAGTTTCATGCAAAATTCCTTTTTGACCAAAATAGGAACCCGGACACAAGAACTCGGAACCATTATCACTACGAACAATTTTGACAGATTTCCCAAATTGATTGTGAATCATGGCAAAAAATTCACATAACTTAGTAGGCATAGATTTCTTATCATCAAGAAGATATAACCAAGTAGCACGAGAAAAATCATCAACGATGGCCAAAAAATAACGCGCACCACTAAAAGTAGGAGTACGATAAGGTCCCCACAAATCACAATGAATTAAAGAGAAAAGTTCAACACTTTTAGAAGTACTAATGAGAAAAGATGCACGAGATTGTTTAGCTCAGAAACAAATGTCACAAGATTTATTCAAAACAGGACTACTAGAATAAAAAAGAGACAACTGCTTTAAAACCTTCACAGAAGAGTGCCCTAACCGCTGATGCCATAAAATCGGGGAAACAACATGAGAAGTCCGAGCAGGAGACAAGCCACGAAAGAAGTAGAGACCCCCCAACTGTTCACCTGCGCCAATCAGAGTCCTCGATGTACGGTCCTGAACAACACAAAATGTATTAGTAAACTGGGCAACAGAATGAGAATCCTCTAATAAATGATATAAAGAAATCAAACAGCACTTCAAAGCCGGAACATAAAGGACATTGTGCAACGTGACAGAATGGCTCAAATGAACAACACCCGACTGCGACGCATAAGTCATAGAACCATCAAGTAACTGAACTGGACGAGGAGAAATAGCCATCAAATCCGTCAAGAAAGCCAAAAAACCTGTCATATGATGTGAAGCCTCAAAATCAAACATCCATTCATGAGAATAAGGCTTACCAGAGAGTGTATCACTCGACTTGTGATGAGTATCAAGCATGGAGATTAAAGTCTGCCATTGATCCGGAGAAAGACCAAGAACCGCATGTTTATCCGAATCAGTCACGACAGAGCCAGCAAACTGTGAACTGGGTACAATAGTAGTGTTAGCTCGACCAAAAGAGCTACCCGAACCACGACCCGAACTAGCAGCACGCCCACGACCGGAGGAACGACCACCACGACCAATCGAGCCACGGCCAGCCAAACCACTTGAATCCCGGCGATAGTTAAGCCACCAATCGGGATATCCGATAAGATCAAAACAACTGGAAATGTCATGACCCGGTTTGGAGCAGTGAGTGCAAATTATCGACTTGGCTTTCGGCTAAATCGGGTTGGAGTCGGACCGAGACCGAGAAGTATTCCAGATGGACGGTGGAGTGGGAAGTTGGGCAGACCGTGGAGCTTGAATCGCGAAACTCAGAGCATCGGCTGCAACTTCATCAGTCCCATTGGAGATGGACCGCAGCCGCTGTTCCTGGACAAGCAACGAATAGGCACGATTGACAGTGGGCAGCGGGTCTTGAGAGAGCAAACTCGACCGAAGCGTGCCATACAGGGAGGCATCCAGTCCCATGAATAATTGATGCAGCTTCTCAGATTTCCGGCGCCGTCCAGATTCTGCAAGGACGGCTGGAGAACCACAAGAACATGACTGCAGTGGTTCGTAGTTGGCTAACTCCTCCCAAAGCAGTTGAAGCCGACCGTAATAAGCCGACATGCTCAAACCCTTCTGCTTACAATTCGCGAGATCGGTCTTGAGCTGCTGAATCCGGGGACCATTCACAACGCCGAAGCGGTCACGCAGATCCGTGTAGAGAACCGAAGCAACTTCGTGATGAGGAATGATGGAACGGACGGATGGATTGATGGAATTACGCACCAGGAAACAATCAAAGATTGGTTTGTCCACCAATCTTCAAAATCGGGTGACGTTGCCGGCGGTTGAGGAAGCGTGCCATCAATGAAACCAAATCTCTTACGCGCTCGCAAGGCAATACGAACAGCACAGCACCATTCATCATAATTATCAGTCTTCAACATAACTTGAGTGATTGGCGTTCCTGGATTGTCACCGGCAGTAAGGTCGTACGGAGTAATCGTACGACGTTTGGGAACATCTTGAACCGGCGGCGGAGCAGCAGTATCAGCGGAAAGAAGGGTGGGAGATGGAGTACTGGATTCTTCAACACCGTGCGCCATGAGGCAAAGACGGCGAGGGTTTTTTCTTTTTTTTTTTTTTTGTTGGCCGGCAAGCACAAGGCCGGCGGCGGCTGAGGACGGATGGCAGCGGCGACTGGCAGAGAACAGAGCCGGCTGGAACTAGCCTAGAAAATCCATAGGTACCAGAACTTGGGATGGAGAGGAAAGCACATAACACCGACGGCAGCACACCGACGGCTGGAACTACCCCGTGGGACTTGAGCAGTAGCAGTAGCAGTAGCAGGGAATGGAGAGGAAAGCACAGAACACTGACGGCAGCACACCGACGGTAGCACAAGCACAGCAGCGACGTCGACGGAGAGGAGAGCACAGTCAGACAACAACGACAGCAAAGAAGACGTCGACGGAGAGGAAAGCACGGTTACGGAGTGCGGCCACAAAGCAACAAGGCAACAACAGCAACAACAGCGGCAGTGAGAAACTGACGGCGAAGAAAGCAGCAAGAAGAAACTGGTGGCAGTGAGAAAGCAGCAGCGACGACACCGACGATGGCAGAAGTCAGTGGCGGCCACAAATAGGTTTCGGCGGCAGAGAAAGAAAATTAAAAAAAAAATCTTAAGGGTTTATGGTGGCAGAGGTTTCGGTGGCCATAAAGAAAACCTAGCCTGATACCATGACACAAACTAAATGGCCGGCATAAAACATGATACTCTATTGATCGGTCCACAGAGGGACTATATATACACATCAGTTAGGGTTTACGGTGGAAACCCTAGTACGTACAAAGGTCGAAAATAACCCTATACAAATATATATACATATATCGTAACAATGCACACTCCAAAACTCTGAGATCAACGCAAGAGAGAAAAAGGCAGTATCAGCGAATTTGAATGTTTTTTCACATGTTAATCAAATAGTAAAAAATAACGAGAATGATGATCACATTTACATAATGATTCTCAAGGCAACACACAGGGAGACGACATTGTAAAATTTCCTTTATGTGGTAATTGAAGGATTGAAGAGTTGGTTTAATTTTACCCAAAAAAAAAAAAAAAAGAGTTGGTTTAAAAGAAGTTAGCAGGTTGACCACTTGAACGTAAAAAGTACGAGGATAAAGATGATTGGATTCTGATTTCTTCCCATGAAGATTTTATGTTTTCGTATGAATACTTTAAAATCATCCGGACAGATTTAGTACCTTATTTTAGTATAACTTGTAGAAATTTGGAGAAAGAATAAGAACAGCTATGAGCCTATGAATCAAATGCAACTATTTACATCATCATTCTTCTCTCCGTATACATAAACAGAAAACAGCCCAAAAAGGCTCCAAACTCAACTTACAATTCTCCTCTTATAAAAGTGTAAAAACCACCAAACAAAATAGGCTGGAAAATTAAACACCGATTGAAAGCTCCGGCGAGTATAGAGATCGCAGAATAATGGACACCATCAAGGCCTAATGTATACATTTTCTATCTTCCATACATCATGGATTGATCAATCAATCACAAAGAGGGCAAAGAATCAAACCATTTTCATTGCAAGACCGACATCTTTCCTTCTCTTCCCCAACCACAACCTTACAACTTCCGCCGCAATCCATACACGGCACGAACCGAGCGCCGCCGCAACCTTCGCAACCTAACCTCCCGGTCCCTCTTTCCACCCGAGCCCAGTTCAAAATCCTCCCGAGCCGGCCGGTTTCGTTCAAATTCACCACCTCCTCCGCCCCTCCGATGTACCTCCCTTTAATAAACATCCTCGGCACCGCCGCTCCTTCTCCCAAGAGTTCTTTCAACTCATTCAAATACTCTCCGTGGAGTGACACGTCACGCTCGTCGAACACGAACCGGTGCCACTCTAGGATGGTCCGAACAGTGTTACAATCTTCGAAGGTCCGCCTGACTCCTCCCAACGACGTCGTGTAGATGACCACCGAGTCGGCCCCGTTCGGCGGGCATTTCTCCGGGAAGTCGCTCAGCGGGTTGAACCGGACGATTGGCGCGGGTTTTCCTTCTTTTTCTCTCTCCAACCTATCCCTCACTATGAATATGTTGTCCTTTACCGACTTGTACCCCGGCGTCCCCGGCGCCGGAGGAAGCCCGGTATCTTTCTTTATGTTTGTTGTATTCGTCTGATTCTTGGTTGATGATAATGATGCCATTGACGCAGTCTTTTTATGCTCGGGTTTAACCTCCGGCGGCTGGTTTTTCTTCGCGGCGGAGGAGAGCTTGGCTTCGAGCTCTTCTAAAGTGTGAAAGGAAAAACTCTTCCGACCCAGCGGCGGAGACGGCTGCGCTTCCTTTTCATTCTTCTTTTGGCCGCCTTCTTTAGCCGCCGGCTTCTCCAGCGGAGGGTTTTGTAAAGTAGGTTTTAAATCTTCAAGAGCTTTACTAACCTCATCCCAGGAACGAGGAGCTTCTTCAATGGCGTTGAGCTTCTCCAGAAGTGGGTCTGGCATATAAGCCGGCTTCCCATTCCCATTCAGTTGTTGCTGTTTCTGTGCTTCCATAGCCTTTATCCATGGCTCCTCAATGGCGTTGACATCGAATACGGCAAAGCTCGTCGGAGGTGGACGATACACCTCTATGGCTTTGTTGTTTGCTGCAATATCGAAACTCTTCGAAGAAGCACAACCCATTATTCCAGTGAAGATTAATTTTTTCTTTTTTTTTTCTTTTTTGGGTTTGCACTTAAATGTTTAAGAAGATTGAATTTTGTGGGGTTTGATTTAATGGTGTTAGATAATTTGTGTGGTTTTGAGTTTGGGGTTTATCTTGTTCATGAATGGTTGGGTTCTTGTGAGCCATGGAATTTTTTTGAATAAGATGGTTACTATAACATAATAATATAAGTGGTGTTGGTCTGCTCAAATGATCTTTCGTATTTTGGATTCATTTGGAAGTAATTAATGAGAGATTGTTTTTAGTGGTCAAGATTTTAGTTATATACGTGGAATATATCTCTCTTTTTATTCCTTCTCGGTTGAATATGACTCATTCATTGATCAATTTCTTTACTACAAATATTATTTAGCTTCCATCACTCCTGATTTATAGAGAAATCATCAATTTCATATCTTCTTTATTTTGTGTATAAACGATATAATCTTCTTAAATCGTGACATCAAACGAAAAGTGATGATTTCAAAATAATACTGTACTAGATGTTAAACTCACACGATATGCGGAGTATGTCACATTTTTATTTGATTTTTTTTATATACAATTTAAATATGTGTTCACATGTGTATAAATCTTGTAAAATATTAATTATTACATTTTAAATAAAGAAAAATGAGTTAGCAAATAAATTATATATATTTACTCTCGGAATCAAAATGTTAAAGGTGGGTACAAAGATCGAAATGTTGAGCATTTGTTTCAGTACATAAATGTATATTGTTATTGTAATGTATTTATTTTAAAAAATTACCAATTATAAATTGTTAATGTAAAACTAATTTTATTGGGCCATTTTCTTAATCATGTATACTTGTTAATGGAAAACTAATTTTATTGGGTCAATTTCTTAATCATGTATACTTTATGAGGATTTTGTTTGATATTACAAAAGGTTACTTATTTTTGGATTGATGAAATAATGTCACATGAGATAAAATCCTATGTATCACTTTAGGAAATATCAACCAGTTTTTCTCTCTGATTTCTATATTATATATCTTACTATATTATAAACAAAAACCACACTTAAGAGAAAGCACCACCATTTGCCATGTGGTATTTCTACATCATATTTTTAAAATAAATTTGTATTTATACATCTCCTAGACTTAAAAGGCAAATGCAGTCCAAATCCACCTCCACCTCCTAATTTTGCCAAAAAAAAAAAATCCTCGGGTTCATAAAAAACCCAAATCCTCATCTCTATTTCCATGACAATCGACTCCCTAATCAATCTCTTCTCCACAATAAAAAAATAAAAAACAAATTCCTCATCAATTATCAATTGAGAATATGTGGTGGAATATATTCTTTTCCTATTAACATGTTCAATCTTTTCATTAGTGATGATCAACTACATCCTAATCGGATAAAATTTCGACTTTAAAAATTATTCTCTTTACCTCTATATAAATACAAAGGAAAAAAAAAAAATTCTTATTGATCTTGCTTTGGCCTTTGTGCTGGTGGCATTACAAATATTAAAATTTAAATGATTTTATTTCCACAGATCATTTGTTTGACTTTTATTATTTTTTTGTTTTTCCCGTTCAAGAATAGTGTTATTACTATTATTTTTATGCGTCCATCCGTTACAACTACCATAGCCGTTGTCAGGTAATATGATGTGATTTCTTATATGGTTAGTTAGCCTAGAATTTTTGTATGATTTTAGTTCTGTTTGGATTGAATTGATTAGTTGGATTTTTGTTACAAAGTGTGGTTTTTTAAATTTCTTTTTTTTTCATGTTTCATTCAATTAGAGTGGTTTTCTTTTTTTAATTATGGAGTCTCGGGTTTTTTTTTTCCGTATATGGTCAGTTATGAAGTGTGTTTTTTCTTTGTTTAATTGCTTTTGATTTTGTTTCATACTTCCAGTTGACCAATTATTATTATTATTATTATTATTTTATTTTATTTGCAAAGGAAGTGCGTTTTTTTTTTGTGTTCGAGCTTTCAAGAATATACTTTTTTGGATTTGGCTTTTGGACTTTTTTTAGTTTCTCATCATATAAATAGTTCATGTCGCTTCTTCTAACTAATTTATGGGAAAGCCTTTTATGAATTTGAGGTGGAGAGGGAAAAAAAATGATATTTCTACGTTTATTTGTGTTTTTATACATCATTTTTACCTACAGAAAAAAAGTAAATTTCTCAATTTTTAATGGTCTATCTTTTACTTTCTTTTTTTTTATTTGCCATAGTGAGGTGAGCTTTTTTTTGCTATAACTTGAAACCTATGCAAATTTATATTATTTTCATCTGATATTTGTGATCAACCAATTTCAACAATTAACCAGTTTCAAAATCATATTTTTTATATTTTACTACCTATAAACTTTTGGAAGAAATAGTTCTAACAATTAAGCGTATACCCTTTGGAAGAAGCTTACTACAAAGCTATTATAAATCTCCAAAACTAAGTATTGATTTGGCAGAGCCAATGGAGAACATCAATGAATTATCTTACTAATATTTAAACTTATTAGGATGCTTTTATATTTTGTCTAGCATTTACTTGAAGATATATGTTTGATCAAGTTTATTTATATTTAAGTAGTAACACTTATAAAACATTTCTAAAATGTACCGGGCCAAATACAATTTCTTTTTATGCCAAATACAAACATTTCTGTGATCACAGTTATAAAACATTTCTAAAATATATCAGTCCAAATACAAAATATTTTTTTTCAGATACAAGTATTTCTAAGATTTACAGATATATTGGGCCAGAGTCGCGCAATGCGCGACCAAACATCACTAGTAATTATAGATAAAAGAGTTACGAGGAATATTATTGAACGTCACAATCCCTCAATGATTTAAGGTCAAGTAAGCTAGAATAAAATAAGATATCATAATTCATATCAAGCAGTACAATTATTTGAGTGTCGACATAGAGTAAACTAATCTTAAAATAATAGTAACATAAAAGCTAATAATTTTATGGATAGAAAGTCACAATCATTCAACACATTATACGTACTTCACTATGTTTTAACGTTCATATAAAGGATTTTAAACAGAAAAAAAAAAAAAAAATTTACTTTTTCTGTATCAAAATTATTGTTCATTTTGAGATTTCACTTTTAGTATAATTTGAACTACAAATGAAAATCTAAACTGAACAATAATTATGAAACAGTGTATATCATTTGAAATTAACCAATTGATTTAAACTCTGGCCTTTTATTTAAGAGATTAGGGGTCAAGGTCCATGACGAGTGATATTGGGCGATTTTGGGACAAGTCTTTAGCAGAGAGGTTGTTTCACTCTTGGAGTTGGGGCATGCAGTATAGACTATAGGCTTTTAGTCGATTAAGTAATAAGAATACTTTCTTTTTTGGTTAAGAATAAGAATACTTTCTGAGTTGGAAAAAGAAAACAAAAACAAAAGGAATACCTCCATTTAGCAAAATTGAAAGAGGGAGAATCCAGATTGTAATGTGGGCCTAAGAGATAAGAGGCTCTTAAAAACACAGTGGGACATATAATAATGCACATTGATTTGGACTACAAGCAAAGCCTATCTACACAGGATTATAAAGATGGTGCATGAGAAATGGGCTGTCCAGCTTCAATGTCACCTGCGAAATGGCAAAGTTTGGAATGAGTCTAAAGTTTTATTCTTTCTTTTGGTTAATAATCTAGAGTTTTTAATTAAAAAACATTAAAAAAAAATAGAGTGGCCTAAACAAAAAATTCCTACTAATTAATTAAAATTCATTTTATTAATTTATAAGCAACAAGAAATTTGCTACAAACTGTTATCGATGAAATTATAATTCTGACAGTATAACTGGTGTTCCAAAAAAATAGAAAAACAAATAGCCATATAAGCCTATTGAACTTTAACTTTTAGTTTTAGTGTTGTTTAGGTTTGATTCGTATCACTTTTTTTTTCATTTTCTATAAAGTCCACCGCGTAATGAAATGAACATTTGCATTTTGCACAAGACTTATGTTTGAAGTTCAGAATAATTTCAAGTAAAACCTAGTATATATTGTTACTAGGTGAGTATGCGATGTTTATTTATCAGTTTTTTTTTTCAATTGTATACTGTCTAAAATAAATATATTTCTGATAGAATGGAATTGGTAAGGCACAAAAAGTTTTATTTAAAGATTTAATTAGGTGCATTGCATGTATAGCAAAAGTGAGAGAGTTGGATACCAGCAGTATTTTTTAAAAAGAACAAGGGGGACAGATAATCTTCCCTGCAACCTGAAAATTAACAAATGGCAGACCTGCGTCGTGATCCCTAAAATATCATTTAAAAAAAAAAAAAAAAAAGATGCAACGGTTCATAAATTTAATACAGTATGCAATCTTATTCTAATTTATTCAACTCTGATTCATCATTTTTTCGTATTATACAAGTCCGATCTGGGATTATCTGAATTTCTTAAACTTAATTAATGCATCATTCAACGGTCTAATTACCCCTTTCAAAATTTCAAGAAAATGTCTGCTTTCTGCACTATTCCTTTTGTCTCCATCTCCCTATATAACATATCCGTGACCCTTAAAATATCAAGATAATTTAGTTTAAACTGCTTTGAGATTCTCACTTATATACATAGAAGATGCCTACAATATTTCTCGGTTAAGTTCAGGAATCTTTCTTAACGTTTGCCAAAATGGGGAATTGTTCTTTCAAAAGTAGTGTTGTTGTTAGTGCAGATGAAACAGCAAAAGGGTTCAACCAGTTCATCCGTGTCATGACGGATTCAGGTGAGATTCTGAAGCTGAAAGGTCCTAAGTTGGCTGGAGAAATCCTGCATGATTTTCCGGGACATAAGATTTGCGGAAAAGGTCATGTTTCTTCACCCCTGTTAGATCACCAGGAGCTTCTGGTTGGGCATGTTTATTATCTCCTCCCTATCACCAACCCGACCGCCGCCAAGGATCGTTCTGGTGATCAGGAGGATGGAAATGGTGGAAAAAACGACTGTCAGATGGAAGATATGGAACCAGTTCGGAAGTCGACTAGTGCCGAAGCAGCAATGGAGATGGCAGCGAGTTTGGCGAATGGACCGGCTCTGGAAGTTTTGCCACCACCTCAAAAGGGTGTTTGGAAGGTGAAGCTGGCTATCACTCCAAAACAGTTGGAGGAGATCTTGTCTGAGGAAGTGAATACAGAGGCGTTGATTGAGCAGATGAGCATGGCAGCAAATAACGCTGTTTCAAGTGGTAGCGTTACGCCGAGGCGATCCAAGATCTCTTGGGGACTGATTTTGAAGCAAAGGGTGCTTGGGAATGTGTTTAAGGCCCATAATTCTCACATTGAACAAGATAATGAAGTACAGGCAGTCAATTTGTTCAAGAACAATCCTATCTACGAGTGTTAAGAGATAGAACAGTTGGTTTGTTTGTTAATCCACAAGTTAGCTAGATGAAATATGTAATAGTTAAGAGGTTCATGATCAATGAATCTATAGGTAGTAGCGAGTTGATGTTTCTTATATGAAGATGTATTTCAAACTGACATTGGAGAATTGAAACGCCATTTTGGCTGTTGCGGGAATGCTGAAGTTTTAGAAGCCTGTACTTAACAAAAAACCATATTTGGTACCATATTGTTCAAGTTGCAAACCAAACCCACAGGTGCAAAGGATGAATACGAGCAAATCCAGGGAACAATTAATTTTCTACTAAGGAGACCAAGAAAAATGCCTTGAAAAGACCACGAATTTATCAGCAAAGGCTTTGATTGCAAATCCACAAAACTCTGCAAAATTCAAAGATTTCCACAATGGATAAACATGCGGCTTTGAACTAAAATTTTGAAGCAGAACGGGCACAATGGATAAACATGTGGCAACTTTTCCATGTATTTACCGATCTCAATGTACTTGAACAAACTTCCAACTTACATTACATCCTTCCACCGAACAAGAAAGGGTGATACACTTTAATAAAACTCAAAATTGACAGGCTTCCATCCTGTCCATGTAACGCTTAAAATCCCAGAAAGGAAAAGAAAGAAAGGGCAAATACATTACTCTTTGTGCAGCTAACGATTAAAAGGCTCAAGCACCTAGAAATAGAAAAAGCACTACTGCTGCTAGTTACATATGAAACTGTAAGCTTCATTTGACACAAAATGTCCTAGTCTAGTCAAGTCTAGATTTCATTTTCTTGATGGCCTTCTCTATTGCAGGTACATTCTTCGAAAAAGATGCCCACTGCTCAGCAGTCAAACTAATCCCTATGATACAGAAGAAACAATGACAGAACATAATGATTCAATTGAGTAACAGTTACAATAAAGCCTAACCAGACAAACAATAATGCAACACACAATGTTTGGGCGACAAAAAATTATTGAGTCTTCACAGTTAATGTACATCTTTTACCTCCGTGGACTCCTCCCCAGAAATGCTCCAAATACATGGGCTTATGCAGGCAAGTACAGGTACATAATTATACTTGGTAACAAAAGATTAGCTTAGAATCATACTTGAGACATTGATAAAGAGACAACTTTTGAATAAATAGGATAACCAAGTTGAATAAATTCTTCGATAGCTTGCAATCACTAATTTTCAAGAACAAGTTGCTTATAGATACACAAGGATGGTAACCAGAAACACAAGTGTTTTTTTCATAAGAATATCCACAAATAGAAGGTGAAGACATAAAGGAAAGAAAGGGGATAAAAGCTGCCAACAAGCCAAGGAGATTCTTGACGAGAATTACTGATGGGGAACAGGGGCTGAATTGAAAATAGACATTATAGGCAAACGCTAGCTATAGGGATTTTAGAAAGACCGAGTTTTTGAAAGCTTAAATTTTATAAATCAGATAAAAGAACGTGGATAAAAGCTGCAGAAGGTCTCTATTTATAGAGAGATTCTATTTTATTCCTACTACTACCAGGCTTAATGACTTAGGACTAAAACCGACATTCAAATAAAATACTTTGTAAAAAAGGAAATTACTTATACTAATTTTATAATAAAGCTATTTCTTAAATCTTCATGTATCAATTACGGCACAAACAAAACAGCACTCCGCTAGAGATTTAGTAAATGATTGCCAAACTAGTATCAATTAATTAGAAAAGGAAACCTAGGTCAAAGAACCCTGAACCAATAGTCAAACAGAAGTTAACTGAGTCACAGAGCAGACATGGAAGAAGCAAACGCTGCAAGAGCAGATAATGATAATATTAAAACCGCAAGATCACAATCTAGTTTCTCACATTCGAATGAGACTCAAAAGCACATGCATCAAATATGTAAAAGTATCTAACACACCAAAAGTCCCTGGTCGTTCTGCTTCTATAATTATCATGCAAAAAGGGGAAAACATGCTTGTCATTGAATGCTTTTAATGAGAATTAATTAGCACAATAAGCTTTCAGTAAAACCAAGCCATTGATAGATTCCGAAATACTAATATCACCCATGATAAGAAAACAAACCTATACTCACTCGCAAACAGATAAGCCACGCTATCAATGCGTCAGGGCAACCACAGTGGAAAGCAAACAAAACTACTTATACTATGCAATCAAGATCCGAACATAGAAAATCAGGGACAGATACCCGTATGGACACAAAAACAGAATCAAAATGCCATCATTAGAATATTCATTATATTATAGAGCCGAATCCAGTATCAACACCACATGGTCCTAACAACTTCAACATATAACCATATAAATATCAAAAAGTAACACAGGATAAGAATGAGAAAAACGTATCAAAATGGTACCTTTAGAAGTGGGAAGCTCTTTGCCTCCTTTGTTGTAATACTCCCTCATTGACACCAATGTCTTCCCTCTAAATTCTGTTATAGTCACCCTTCTAGTCTTGGACAGCTACATGAAAGTTGAAACCATTATCAGTAAGGTCATAATCCCACAAAAATCATTAAAATTATCATTAGCAGAAAGATTATAATCCCACAAAAATAAACACCAAAAGCCTGAAATCCAAATCAAAACCTTACTCTGCAAATAATGAGGTCGCCTTCATCATCATACTCTTTACCGTCATTTTTTCTCTTCTTATCGTCTTCTTCCTCTTCCTCCTCCTCCTCCTCCTCCTCTTCCTCTTCATCCTCTTCTTTCTGCTGTTCTTCTTGTTGTTGCTGCTGCATGGTATTTTGTTCGTCGAGGAACGCCGTCACGACCCGGCGCACCAAACTCTTCCGGGTCGGGTCGGACAGGTCCATCCCGAGCTTCTCGGATGCTGATTTCCGGACCATGAATTCGGTGACCTCATCCATGTTGGAGTTCCTTAAGATTTCCAGGACGGTTTCCTCGATTCTCTGCTCCGTTTTTGCGTCCATTTTTCTGTTTCTCCTTCTCCCGAATTAGAATTCCCCGGATTTTGGAGTTACCTTTTCTGATTAAGAAAAACTTATTTGCAGTGGCGTGAAAATTTGAAAGGGAGCAAGGGTTTTAGGCTTTTAGCTGAAAGAAGAAGAAAGGAAGAGGAGGGGGTTTTAAGGTGTGGTTAAGTGCATGATAAGGGTCAGTGTTCTGTCAGGTTTGGGCCCTGTTATAATGAGATGGAGGATTTACATTATAAACCAATGTAACACTGGGCTAGACCCATTCGGTGCTTAGAGTGGGTGTTTAGTTTGTTTTCCTTTTTACATCTTACTCCCTCCTTTCCTTAATACTAGTATAAGACATTTTGATTTGTTCTAATTCTTAGGTTTCACCTAGTACGTATTTTTTATTAATAAAAAAATCTTAAAAATATATTTCCAATCATTATGTTCTCTTGATTGTTATGAAATATTTTTTAGGTCTTTTTGTCAATTGAAAATGCATACTAAATTAAAAAAAGAAAAAGTCAAAATGCCTTATAATACGGACCGGAGGGAGTATTCCATTATTTGTTTTCCCCGAAAATAGAGTTCATTGCACTTTTTTTTTTTTTAAAAATCTAGTATGGTTTACTGATGGAAAATAAAATCTTAATAATGTATTTTCACATTTATTGTGCTCTTTTAATAATTAATTTTTTTTAAATAGTTATAAATGGTTTCTTGAAATATGGTAAATCTTTTATTTTAGACAAGAGATATTTCGCTTTTTTCTTCGTCCTTTAAATTGAAAAAATAAATTAGACAAATCAAAGTATTTTATAACAAAGACCAGAGTCTTAATTATCAAATTGAGAAGAAACACAAAAATTTACATTTGTAGGAACTCGCCTAACTTGACTTTTGCACGCCCTCTGAGCTCCTTCAGCTATCCATCTTTGAGCCTCAATTTTTTAGGTAAATGACACTTGTTGGAAAAAAGTCGTAGGGAGTTTGGATCTTTTAAATCTAGGTATGTATTAGTCTTGTGAAAGACATATCGAGTAGTATAGTATTTAAATTTAGGAAACTCTGCACTTCGAAAGAGTACATTCCTAGGGTTGAACATAAATCAGTAAACATGGTATACACCTGTTTTAAAATTGTCTTATAACAAAAACAAAACTCTTGTTACACCCATTAGTCTCTGATTTCTGGAAGACTCTCCCAAGTTTGAATCTTGAATTTTATTTTTATTTTTTTCATTGGGTTCTCGCCCAACTCAAAGAATATATCATAAGGGAGCTTATGCATTTCGATATTTCGACTGATCGAAATGCAACGCTTATTTGTTTATTATTTTCCCTTTTTTTGGGGTTTTCATTTCAAAGAGAATTACAGTTATGAATAATTTGATTTTGGGATTTTTTGTGCTCGTAATTCTAGCTATTTTCTTCTTGTAATAACGGTTGTCTAGATTCTACCTAGTACAATTCATCTTTCATCCGATTCGTCCTGTCGAAGTACATCCTATATGTAACGAAAGTAAAAACATTAGCCCAACCCCTTGCAGAAAAAAAAAAAAAGAAGGCTCGTCATTCCTTTCTATTCTTGCCCAATTGTATACCTAATCATGTGAACGACAAACACAATTGATCAGACATGAATATTATGCAGAAAGCAATGATTTACAAAGAGAATGACAAAGACACATTACACATTAGGTTGCTATTAATTACATCATAAATTAGATTCATTATATAGACGTAGATATATATATATATATATATATATATATATATATATATATATATATATAGCCCTCACGTTTTAAATTCATTCATTTGTGGAAAAGCATACATCTTTATCACATAGATCAGGATGACAGACCAGACTTTGTTTTATTTGCTAGATATATAGCATACATCTTTATTGATGACATTTGGAGTTCACTAGATGCACAATTATCTATAAAGCTAAATTTAGGTATACCTTTTTGCCATAAGGCAAAGCGGATTTTTCTTATGCATGGTTACTCCCGGGCACGTATCCACATCAATATCTTCAATTTTTATTCCAGGAGGCAATTCCCAATCAAAAGAGTAAAGGAGATGTGTAAGTGTAACCTTCACGTTAGACACAGCCATAGAAATTCCAGGACAACCTCTTCTTCCTGCTCCAAACGGAATGAGTTGAAAATCATTCCCTTTAACATCGAGCTTACTATTCAAAAATCTCTCCGGAATGAAATTTTCTGGGTTTTCCCAACTCTCAGGATCTCTTGCGATTGCCCATGCGTTGATGATAACCATGGTTTTACTTTTAACATCATATCCTTCTATGGTACAGTCTTCTGTAGTTTCTCTTGGCAGAAGAACTGGTGCTGGAGGATACAATCTGAAGGTTTCTTTTATTACTGCATCCAAGTACGGAAGCTCTTGAAGTACTTCTTCTGTTAATATTCCTTTTTTCCCAACTGAATCTCTAATTTCAGTTTGCACTCTTTTCATAACAGAGGGACTCCGAATGAGGGCCGTCATAGCCCATATTATCAGGGCTGCGCTTGTATCTGTTCCGCCTACAAAAACGTTCTGTAAAACAGAGATTATGAGCGGCCAAGAGTTTTTCTTTTTTTTTTTTTTAATAAAAAAAAAAAACACCGAGACAACACATTTTGACTAACTATTCAGTAGACTGTTGAATTTTTCTTAATAAGCAATAACTAGGTATAATTTTTTCAGTTTTAAAACTTACTCCTATTTGATAAATCTCTTGAGCCAAAAATGAACATTGTACTGGATGCTGATGTCTGTCTATTTGTTTTTATTTGTAGCGCGGGCTTCTTTAAAATAGTGGTAAATCATGATTCATGAGGACTGGCCTAAAGTCTATCTTTTTGACATACAAACATAAATTGATGGAACACGCTGCAATTAATATATAAATATATATATATATGGGCGGAGACACATATATGATTAGTGGGGCAATTGCCCTATCTGATTTTTTTTTATAGTTATTATTCCTTAAAATTTGAGGTATTTTCTTAAAAAAATTAGATTTTGCCCCACCTAAATTAATAATATTAGGGGGCAAACATATTAAATTAGTAGTATTAAAAATTTTGCCCATCACTTCTTCGGGGCCTAGCTCCGCCCCTATATATATATATATAAATCAAGTTTCGGATGACTAATTCAAAAATGATATGTAATCATGAGGACCGCCCTAAAGTCTATCTTTTTGACGTACAAAGATAAACTGATGGAACATGTTACAATTAATAAATTATATATATATATATATATATATATATATATATATATATAGACACAAACCAAATTTGGGATGACTAGTTCAAAAATGATATATATGTTTGGCCAAAAAAAATTGTTAATAAGTTTTGGATATAGCATATCCTCATAATGTGTTATTGTAGTTTTTAGACATTAGCCTCAGTTATTGAACCGAAAATAAGTGTTGAACTTAGTACTTTTATGTTTTGCTTATTTTTTATGCTCTCTCTGTTCTAAAGAAATTAGTACGTACTGAACTTTGAAATTTATAAACTCAAATTTTTTGGGTCAAAGAGAGTACTCTTATTTAACAAAATATTTACTAATTCACATGAAAACTCAACTATGATCTATTTAAAGAAACACGAGAATTACGTACCATGAGCATTGCCTTGATATGATCCCAAGTAAAATCAAATGACGATGATGATGATTGTTCTTTCATCTGGATCAAGAGATCAACAATATCATCCTTCATGTAATCCGGTCTGTTTGGATTCAAGTGCTCATCTATGAGTTCTTGATAGAACAAATCCAAATCCTGAAAATTCTTTTCAAGACGATCAAGTATCCCCGAAAGCTTATCAATCCAGCTGAATGAAGGAAAATAATCAGATACGAAAAACCCTGCGAACAAGGCCTCGCATTCATGCAAAATCCGATCAAAGTTATTCTTCTCGCGGCCTTCTTTACCATACTTCTTGCCAAAAGCAATTCGACATATTAAAGAGCTCGAGAAATTCTTCAACATCGAACTCAAGTTGATAACTCGAGACGAGCATGATAGATTTGTAATTTCATGAATCAAGTTGGAAACTTCATCTTCAAGAATCGGCCGAAATGATTGAACCCTTTTCGCACTCAAGAGATGAAAAACCGTAAGCTTTCTCATCTCCCTCCAATACTCGCCGTAGGGTGAGAAAGCTACGTCCAGTCCATTGTAAGAATACTTTTGGTTGCTAACAAGCGTTGGCCGGCTGGAAAATTCAAGATCAAGGGTTTTTAGGGCTTCTTTCGCTACCCTCGCGGATGAAATCACGAGTACTGGCCGTTTGCCGAACTTCAAAGACATGAGAGGACCGTACCTGTTGGAAAGGTTTCTCAAGAAAATATGAGGTTTTAAACTATCAAATTGATGCAAGTTCCCAATGAAAGGTAGTCCTGGAGGGCCTGGAGGGTTACGATTGTTTCTTGTTTTGTGGATTTTCTGGAAATAAAAAATGAGAACAAATTGAAGAATTAGGAGAAAGAAGAAGAAAAGAAACCACTCTGCCATTGATTAGTTAGTTTCTTCAGCAATGAATCATTCAAGTTTACGTGACATAGAGTGAACAAGTACATACATACATTGATATATATATATATATATATACACACACACACATATATATAAAAATGGTGTTTAATTTGCAGCCACCAGTTTAATGCATGTGGCTGAAATGATATTGGATTTGCGTGGTAGTGTGGGGAAAGGGAAAGAGAGAGGTCAAGTCTAGTAGGGCACGATTATTATACAAATTAAATTAGTGGGGTTTGCCAAAATAATTTTGGGCAATAATTGGTGCTGCAAATAAAGGAGAGAGAAGATTAACTACTTAATCCGAATGCACCCATCATTTTCGATTTCTCATCTTTAAAAAGGTTCGATTTAGATAGTTTCCAATCTCAGTAATCAATTCTGAGTCTAAACCCCTGGATCAAGTATGGAGCTTTTGCTTTTGCATGGAAGCAAGGATGTATATGAAACGCATTTTCAATGTACTTTTCTAGTAAGGAAGAAAAAATTGTATATATATAGAGAATGTACTATTAAGTACTATTTTGGAATGTAATATATTTAATTAAATTTTTTTTTTTTAAAAAAAAGGCCATTAACTAACACACACACATTACACACCAAAAGATGTTTCAAACATGCCGCAGACTTGCATGAAAATTTTCCTTAAAGACACACATGATATTTAAGACGGTGGCGGAAGCAAACTTTTTTTTCTAAAAAAAAAAGACGAGAGCAGAAAGTAATAATAGTAAATCTTTTCTAAAGGGTGATAAAATTTATAAATTTCAGATTACAAATTAATTTGAACCTATCCCTATCAAGAAGAAGTTAAAGGCACCCGTTCTCCCCCTACATCTGCCCTGACGTTCGATTTTCAGTTATTAAGTACTTCTTCCGTCCCAAAATTATTATCCAGTTTGTATTTTCATTTTTAGTTCAAATTGTATTAAAATTAAATCTCAAACTGGACAATAAATATGGGACGGAGGAGGAGTACAAAATTTTACAATAAGAATAACTAATGGAATGTTTCGTCCATTTTAATTTTTTTCCCTTTACAATATAATATATTTCTCTCATCTTTTGATAATAGACACTGGAGTTAACCGGACTGCCAATCCCCTTGTCATCCTCTCGTTTTTTCTTTTGCTTTCACTTTTTCCCAGTTTTTTTTGTGTAAGACAAAAACCATTTTTTTTTTTTGCAGCCTCGTCCGTCGGTTGAATCACATGTATATATAGGCCAGGGAACAAAGTGGCAGCAAAATGGTTAAAGCAAGCCATGTGTGAGCCTAGTAGTGGTTAACAGTTCCCACACCAAAGTTGCAAAACGTCTGTCAAAACCGTTTGTTCAACAGACGTAACTCATGAATATCAAAAGTTGGAGCGAGAATAGTTTTGCAGAAGCTTGCCTCAGTGTTAGTCATCTCTCTCCATGAAGTCTAATGTAAATGACCTAGGAATATAAAAGAATTTATTCTCTCCGTAGTAAAATTTCAACCAATATTGAGACAGAAAAAATATGTCATAACATGATTTTAAAGATTACACTTTCAGATGGTATAGACTACAACATTGTGGCGAGTGAAGGTTTACTCATGTCTAGTTGTCGACCACTGGATGGATGAGTTGGCAGTCGTTAGTTAAATTTTGACAACACCAAAGATGGAACGAGAACTTTCGTAGCAATAAATAAGTCCATAACACCATAGTCGATAGATGTCGGTATCAAGTCTTTTGGCTCCCTAAATACTTGTCCAAGAAAAGAAAACTCTGAAAGAAACAAATTACTTTAGAAAGAAAAATTAAAAAAATCTTAATGATATGAAAATTAAGGCAACATAACTGTAAACCTTAAGCCCAGGAGGAAGCACAGTGAAAGATGTCACATCCGTAAAACATAGTCTCTTGTGACAAAATGATTATCTTATTTGATGTTTAGTTGGAGTGAACCTCAAAACGAGTCATTGAACTATTAGGTAATTCTAATACAGATTATTAATTAAATTTATTTGTATAACAGGTCACCATACTAAGTAAACAATTCATCCGTGATCATTCTGTTAATTTTTACCGTTAAGTAGTGACGGAAATCAAATTTTCACATGCTTTTGGGTTCAGGGGTATTTTGATTATTTTATTATTTTTAAATTTTTTAATCTTTTAAAAAAATTATTTTTTTTTTACAATTATTCTTCTTATATTTCCTACTTGTATATACTGGTAGTATGATTCTAAATTTCAAAAAAAATTCATTTTACTTTTGCATTTTAACTTCTAAATTATAAAATTGTTTTAAAAATTTAAGAAATGAAGAAGAAATATTCAAGTTAAAGTAAACATAAAAATTAATAGTTTAACATTTTAAACTAAAAAAAAACTAAAAGAATTAGTTACGACAAATTGTTTCTTCTAGGTTATTTAATTTTTTAAAACTGAATTGAATTATTTAATTATTAAT